TGCGCCGGCGACATGGTGCGCGGCAGGATCTCCCGGCTCTCAGTCCGCGACGTGCGTTTTCCCACGTCGCTGGGGGGCCACGGCTCCGATGCCATGGTAAGCGCGGACCACGGCCCCGGTGCCCTCCCGCCCCGACGGCCAGGCCTGTTGTGGGGTGGGGGCGTGGGACAAGGCCTGCGGGTCCGGGAAGGTTCCCGACTCGAACCCCTGCTTCTGTGAAGCAGACGGCAGGCTTGAGGGAAAGGCGAGGCATTTCAAGCCTGCGAGGAGTAGTGTAAATATCCAGCGCTTCTCCACCCTCCTGGGCTTTTTCTTTCGCTTTTCCTCTTCCCCTTTCTTTTCCCGGAGTTTACATTGCCCTGGTTTTACATTTTGCTGGAGAGGGCAGACGCATACTGTGCAGCAACACCAACATGGTTTTATTGGGTCCCCAACGATGAAACACTAGAACACAGCGCTGGCTTCTTCTGTACCGACTTGATGGGGTTCGTGGTCGGGGAGACCTAGAAACCCGGAGCTGGGAATTTTGAGTGGTGATGCTGTCTCCACCACAACTTGCGGTGTGACTTGGAGAGGACCCAACCTCTCTGGCTTTCCTGGGCCCATCTATGAAATGAAGGTGTCAACAGTCGGGCAGAGAAACAGGCGATTATAGCTCTGGGTCACCTGAGAGGGCGCTCTCATGAACTTCCATGCGAACCTAGTTAGAAAGGATTTGTCACTATAAAGAGTTAATGCAAATGTCACTTCGTTTGTTTTGTTTTTGTTTTTTGTTTTTTGTTTTTTGAGTTGGAATCTCACTCTGTCGCCCAGACTGAACCTCGACCTACTGGCCTCCGCGATCCTTCCGCCTCAGCCTTCCAAGTAGCCGGAATTACAGGCACGCGCTACCACGCCCCACTGATTTTTTTATTTTATTGTAGAGATGAGGTTTCCCCAAGTTGCCCAGGCGGGTCTCGAACCCGCGGGCTCAGGCAATCCACTCACCTCAGCCTCCCAAGGCGCAGGATTACAGGCTGAGCCACCGAGTCCGGCTCAGTTCGTTAGTTTTAAGAGAGGTAAGAAAGTAAGGGCAGGCACTTTGACTCCTACCTAAGTGCTGAAGGGCTTTTTTGCTTACTGAGAATGTTAAAAGCATCCTCTCCCCCTCCTCCCCACTCCCCCACATCTAAAACAATGGTTCCCAAATATAGTGTAGGAGTACTGTACAAGGTCTTCAGGGGATCCATGCTCCACTGGGTCCTCACTGCCCCTCTGGGTCAACCGATGAGATGGCCACACTAGAAAAACAGAGTTGCATCAGTATGTAGTGAAAAACATCAATGTTAGGACAATGGTTACCTGTGGGGAGGAAGGTTCATGGGATCAGGGCGGGGTTCTCCAGGACTCTAATTCACACTAATGTTTTATTTCCCAAGCTCGGTGGATGGCAAACTATTGTTCATTACAATATCTATACTGTTTGAGTACCTGAAATGTTTTATAGAAATAGTCCTCTCATTAAAACTTGCTAAAGAAACAAGGTTATTAAATGCAAAAGAATGTTCTGTTTTCTGAGATTTTCTTCCTGCTTTTAAAAATCCTTCTATGTCCTTTTTTATACATATTATGGTAAATAACTGAAACACCCAGTGGGCAATCCTCCATGGAACTCCATGTAGATATTTGAAATTTTACTGGCTTGTAAAATCCAAACACCTGATCTAGTGCAACTGCCTTTGCCCTTCTGAGGCTTAGCTGCTGTGGGTAAACCACACAAACTCTCCAGGCCTCAATTTTCCCATCTGTGAAATGGGTATAATAATATCCACTTTATACATGAAAATGAGATGCCTGTAGGGACATCTGACAGAGAGAAAACCCTCAATAAGAGTTGGCTATAATTACTATGGTCATATGAGAACACTGAAGCAGAAGGAACTCCGACCTAGATGTGACTTTGAGGTGTTAAGATAGCCTAGTTTACTGTAGAATAGTTTAAGGAATGCCATTTGCCCCTGAACCTGAGTGGTGTGTGATCGCTGATGAGAGAGGAGAGATTATCTGACATCTGTATTACAGGCTTATAAATACTTAAACATTTATTTTCAGGAGACGGCACGTATTGACTTTCAAATGCCTTCTTAATAGAATGTGCTACTTTGCAGTTATCCATGGTAGTGGCTTCATGTGCCCTCATGGCATTCTGGACTACCCTCAGCATTAGCAGCAGAGTGAGCCTTCCTGATCAGAAGTGAGATATTTCATGAAGGACCCCTGAAACTGTACTCAAAATCTGCTAAAGTTCCCTGCTGTGGCTTCTTGTTCGTCTTGTTAGAAGCATGGAGCACTCAGGCTTGCAGGTATTTACTAGTTGCTTATTTGTGCCGGTGTTCACCAAGCTTCTAGAGAACTCCAAGATGGTGAGCTCATAGCCCAGCTCCAATGAGCTCCTGGCCGCTTACCAGCCATACTTTCCCTCTTTCCTCATTGTCTGGCAGCTCCCTGGAGTGGCTGTTCTAGGCTTCTCTCTCTCCTCCAGCCTCTGGTCCTGTACCCTCAGCAGTTGGAAGACATTGTCCACTGCTTCACTGAGAAGACTGAAGACAGATGTACCCTGGGTTCTATCTCCACACATCAAGCTCCAAACTAACCCTCCCTTCCTTCCCTTTATGCTGTGTCCTACTGAAAAACTAAGCTATTGTCTGTGTCCCCGTCTATCAGTCCCCTCTCTGACTCCTGAGATGCCCTTGCCAGCATTTTCTTTTTTTTTTTTTTTTGAGTTGGAGTCTTACTCTGTTGCCCAGAGTTGGAGTCTCACTCTGCTCCCGACCACCGTAGCCTCGACCTGCTGAGCTCCAGTGATCCTTCCGCCTCAGCCTTCCAAGTAGCTGGAACTACAGG